TTATCATATTCGAATAAAATTTTGCACTGCTTATTTTTAGACCAAAAGACATCTTTTTGAGCCCGGCAAACTGTATATTTAAAAAAATAGTTAAAATAACGAACGGTCTAATGTACATATGTATTTTATTCTATAGGCCCATAGTAAAATCGGCAAATATAGTTCACCTTTGCTTTTCCTATCTTTCCCTGCTTTTAAGCATGTATCTGTGCGTACATGCTCTCGCTTTTATTACAACGAATACGCTGTTGCAACTACGTAGAACTACGTGACTTAGAACAAAATTTCTCGCACCACCAGTGTCGCATCTTATTCGTTGCCGTCGTTGCCGTCGTCGTCATAGTCGCTGTTGGCAAATGTGGTATGCAACATTTGATGTCTTGTGTTTACCATCTCCCATACTAACTTATACTATATACGACAGTATTCTTAATTTCATAACTCCACCCCCACAAGCCTCAACTGGCCAGTAAGCCACGCACCAGTCAATCGCGGGTGAACGCGCAAGGCAAACGTTCACTATAACTATATATGTATGTATGTACATAAATAGTACATACTTACATATTTCCATCTGACAAGCAATGTATATACATTACATACATATGTAGTGCGTGTATGCATTAGTGACTGAGTATGGCTGTGTGCATATTAGGATGGTCCAAAAATGCATGTGAAAAAGTAAAGTCGGAATTTTTATGCTCTCACCCCTTCGGATTGTTCTATACCGAAAAAAGTAAATCCCAATTTTTGTTATTTGGAAATCAAAAAATATTTATGGGTCGCTCAAAGCGCTTAAAATTTTTTGGGAAAAAACTACTTCTCGTGGAAATGGCATAGACGTTTTGAAAATTAATATATGTCGATCGGAAAATTCTGTCTCTTCAGGAGATTCCCAATAATAATAGCAATTATTTATTTAACCATTTTTTTCGTAATAACTATATTTTATAAATCCGCCAAAACCCCCAGAAAATGCCAGCAAATGTAATGGGAGTATAAAAAGGCACTAAAAAAATGGCTAAATAAACACTTGGGTATTGTTAAGGGACTTCCCTTGAAAAGAACCAGAGTATTCCGATCGAAAAATATTGATTTTCAAGAATTCTATACCATTTCTACGTAAAGTTGTTTTTTTTCCATATAAAATATGGGGGACAACTTTGAGCGCTTTGAGCGATCTCTAAATATTTTTTTGATTTCAAACTAAAAAATAGGTGTGTATTTTTTCGATATAGAACAAACCTAGAGGGTGAGGGCATTAAAATTCAGAATTTAATTATTTTGGACCACCCTAGTGTATATTCGTGCTAAAATGGCAAAATTGTATGGCAAACACGTGACACCATTAAGCAATTATGTGAGAACATTTTGTAAATTGTTAGGCAGACAAAAAGCTTTTAAAGCTTCATGGCATTTGGGGCTAAATCGTTGTAGACAACGCATTTCATATTACCAAACAAAGTAAGTGTACTTTCATACATGTATACCTACACACAAAATATTTTAGGCGAAAAGCAAGCAGTTGCAGTGTACATCGCCAACTTTGGTTAGGTTGAAATATTTAGGCAAATGCAGGCGAATTTATTAAAACAAAGTACACTCAGTTATTAGGCTATGCTTAAGTTCTCTGCGTAGTGAAGTTACGAGTATTTACATGTACATTCATATACATATGTATGGCTTTGAACTGCATACTTTCTTTCGTGGGTATGTATGTATGTACATAAGTGTGATTTAATTCGCACTATGTGACTTTAGTCAAGTTGTTGCAAAATTTACCATGCAACAATAACAATTTTTTGTGTCATACTCACCAGACTGGCTAACAAAACAAAACTCTTTATAGTACTTATGTATGTGAATATATTTCGGAAAAGCCTACATATGAAAAATATCAACCTATGTATTATGGTGCAACTATTGCGTGATTTTAGCTTTTAGATTGTCCATTGTGTAGATACTCAAGTATCATATCTACCAATCCGAGCTGGGCAGAGTTGCATGACTCGGTAGTTACCAGGCTCGACCAGGAAATACCAAACAATTTCAAAACACACGAAAAAGTCCATATGCTCACTAAACTTGGGGCCAAATATACTGCGTGTTTAGTTTTTCTCTCTGACGTCATGATTTTTTTTTTTTTTTTCAAAAAAATTTTAAATTTCAAAGGTATGTTTAATTCAAAATATTGTTTAAAAAATGCAATGTAGAATAATAATATTGGTAACAAATGAAAGAAAAAACTCGGTAAATTGCAATAAAAACTAAAATTTTTTTAGTCTCAAGGACGATGATGGATGGCCTCTTAATCCGACTACATGAGTGTGGTTACGATGTACCCCACAGATGACCTCGCAATTATTGTTGCGAGAAAATTTTACAATACTGTCTCGGACGTCACAGGTGCAGCTCTTCGCGCGGTCTCAAGCTGGTGTGCCAATGAGGGCGTCGGCATAAATTCTCGCAAGGCTGTTCTTGTACCGTTTGCAACTAGGTCTAAGCCAAACATTGGTTCAGTAACTCTTGGAAGGACAGTTCTTGAATACTCTGATGAGGTCAAATATCTGGGGATTACGCTAGCTAACAGACTTAATTGGAACTCCTATCTTGAGAGAACGGCTACTAAAGCCACATGAGCCATGTGGACCTGCAGAAGACTTTTTCGCAAGAACATGGGGATTGAGCTCAAGGCTGATAGATTGACCGTCCGACTGGGTATTATGCATCCATAGCATGCTGGCTGAAGACACTGCATAAAACTTCTATACTTCGCCTTCGCTTCTGGGATGCACTCCTCTCCATTTTGTTTTTTTTTCAAGGAAACAACAGCCACAAGGGAACTGCAACTTCGACCATCTAGAAACGGCTTCTTGACAAAGAAGTTTCCTGCAGGTATTCCTGAGAAGATATCAGGGTTCGAAGTATGCGGAATCTCTGATTCCATGACTAAAGGGAAAGTTCCAAGTTGTAGTAGTAGTGCATCTTTTCAGATAGCCCGCTTTGACATGGTAGGTACCAGGCAGGCCATTGTGGAATCGGCAGCAATAAGGTCGCCGACGACTTGGTACGAAGAGGATCGTAGACTTCCTTTTCGAGAGCCACAATTATTGAGTGGGTACACTTTGAACGCAGTAAGTCTTGGG